CCCCAAAACCCCAAAACCCCAAAACCCCAAAACCCCTTCTTATAGCTAAAAGGTTGAAAGATAATTATTCGTTTTAAATAAATTATAAGGAACTTAAATGCACCTGATGTTTAACCCTTTTAGATATAATAAAGCCACTAAAGAGATAAAGCTGCCAAATGTCAGGATCTACTGAGCTCTAGAGGCTTCAGTTTTATATTTAACAAGCAAAAGAGTTAAACACCAGAAATCTGAACAAAGTTCTTATTAAAATTTTGATAAATGCCCTTTTAAACATGGAAGATGGAAAGCTGGAGAATGTCTGGGTTGAGCTTATAGCAGCAAAGGTGCTTAAGAAGTTTGATTTATTAGTTTTACAGCTAAAGCAAAGGAAGACACAACAGAAAGAAGTCAGTCAAAAAGTGTCCCAGTAGCAGAAAGTTTTGAAACAAACAGAAGAACAGAAAGAGCAGAGTTATTTGGAAGAGTCTAAAAATCAGGTAAGTTAAGAATTTAGGGAAGACAACAAGGAAGCTAAGGTTAAAAGCAATGATAATAAGCATCCATTCTATCATAATGGAAAGATTCCAGAGATATGACCAATGGGGTTTAGAAATCCTTTAGATAGTTATATATAAATGATTCTTTAAAAGAAGAAGAGAGAATAAGTTTATAGTTATTAAAGAAACAAAAAAGATAAGTATTGAACAGCAGAGTCATTTTCTAGAAACATTAAAAGCCATCTGTATATAAATAATGCATTTCATTGGAAAGCAATAAGCTAATATTTAAAGTTTATTCAAAACAGGAAGGTCGTTTGCCATAACTTTGGAGAAGCCAGTCCAGATGCGAGGATAAAAATATCTAGATTTACCAGAATAAACCTCAAGACTCTCAAAACAAAGAAGTCCTCTTAAGTCATGGATTGAAGAGGAGGATGAATCAACTCGATGCTACTGTTGGTTATAAACTAGTTCCTAAATTTGTAGATTCTGAGTTTACTTATGAAGTCAAATAAAAGAATAGCAAACCTCCCCAGAACTAAGCCAATCACCTGATCAGAAGAAGGAGTATGAAGAGCCAAGAGAACAAGAACATCATAACTTGAAATCCCAAAGGAAGAATAATAAGAAATAAATCAGCCTTAAGAAAATCATAAACAAGAGGCTTTGTAAAGAGTACGCCAGCAAGTAAAGAAAATTGAAGAATCTATTTCTATTCAACAAGAACACAGAAAAAATTCTTCTGTAAAGACGACGAGTTTTTCAGCCTCACCCAAATAAGCCAAGGCAATCAGGTCAAAGAGGAAATGCAAAAGAGTCGAAGGAACTGAAATCTGAAAGTTTAGAGTAGTCAGGAAGTTTGTGTTACTATTTTCTGAGTTGTTAAAGACTTTTACTATCCACTTCGAAACTTTCGAAGATTATGAGATATCAAATAAACAAAACTTCACTTTTGATAGCTACCAGATTTAATCACTTTAAGACATAAAGAAGTGTCTCGAGGATGATAACTTGATTTTCAACATAATACGATTTATTCGACTAGATTCTATTCTAAAAGCTCTGCTTAAGAGCATTAGGAAAACATCCTCTTTTTATCTTGTATGAAAAGCAAGAACTGTAAGATTGCTGTTACTTTGCTTCCTAAAATGTTCCTCAAGAAAACTAATAATGAATCTGAGCTAGAGACAAGATAAACAGAGGATTTCACCATCCAAATAACAAGAGGAAAAACATTGATAGCTGACCTGGCTTATACTAATATCTTTATCGAGATAATAGGCAAGGATTTAAATTCATCATAATTATCTTACTCAGAAATACCAAAAGGGAGGTATCTCTGCATCCAGTTGATCTAAATATTATCTATAATTCATTCAATTCCTAAATGGAACTCTGGGGTTTTGGGGTTTTGGGGTTTTGGGG